TGATTTAGGGGTCTGGAGTGTTCCTTTAATAATGAAGGGTTCATGAATTAATTGTAGCATAATTAATCTCACCTTGTCTTCTAGTATTAAACAGTTTTTGTCTATTTAATAAACTTCCCATCCCACTATCTGAAACAAGCTTCTCCCCAGCCATAACTTGTCAAATTAATAATGTATTTTGGGGTTATCTCAGCACTTTCCACTGTTAGTTGGAAACCTTATTTTTCTGATTAACAAATGAATAAAAAAGTGAATGTCTCATTAAAATGAAGTTAAATTTTTATGAAAATATAAAAATGTGCAAGGGGAGTTTAAAATGTGCTAAGGAACACCCTAATAAACTGAGATATTGTCCTTGCTGCCCCATCTGCATTTTCTTGTCATAATGCATTAACATAATCACTATTTAGTTGATTAGTATCGGGAAATGGACTGACTTTACATAGCACTTGAGAATGAATCTGATATTTTGTGTATCATTTAGATTGTAAAGATATAATAGAAAAATCAAGATATGAAATTTGTTTAATTTTAGTTGGTTGAATAAAAAAATGCCATTTGTGATTGAGTTTATGAATTTCCATAAATATTTCAAGAAATATATTCTGTGCACTAATACATATCCATGGTTTTAAATAAACACCTTTACAATCAAGTTTGACGTTTCGTTATTGCTTTAATAAACAAAACATATATGGTATAATTTACTTGTTGCATTTGCACATTATGAACTTCAAAATAAAAACCTACATTCTTCATTCTTATCACTGATGCTCACTACAGTAAGGTGAGTATAGATCTCAAACAATGGTCTGCTTATAAAATATATCAAACATTCTTGTGTGCGTCAGCCTGAAGCCATCTTTAATATTGATTGGACCCTGGGCAAGTATTTGATTGGGCCCCCTGGACCTTGCAACCGCCACCTTCCCCCTCACTCTCTGACATTCAATCAAGCCCTCCACCCCAACGCAGTGACGGACTAAAGTAGAAATAGCCCTGGTGCAAGAATTTTTTTGCCACCCCCCCCAATCGCAAGGGTGGCCAGAAGGTAAATCCCTATCTGTCGTGCAACTCCAACAATGCTTTGACAGCTGGGGCTCTACCATTTTCCCATGCATGCAAGATTGTATTTAGCACTAAGACGTATTGGTGTGTTTCAATGTAAGCATGCTCGCTGCCTAGGTGTTCTCTTTGACTCCAACCTCTCCTTCAAGCCTCATGTTCAGTCTATCGCCAAATCCTGTCATTTCCATCTCAAAAATATTGCGCGCATCCGCCCCTACTTAACGCCAGATGTGACTAAGGTGCTGGTCCATTCCACTGTCCTTTCTCGCCTTGACTACTGTAATCCGCTTCTCAGTGGTCTTACGTGCTCCCAACTTGCACCATTACAGTCTGTGATAAAGTGAAGGCAGATAGGCCTTTTAACCCCAGGGGAAGTATGTGTAGTTTCTGTGTTGCACAACACAAAGCTTTGCTTAGTTATGGGCCCCTGGGGTGGAGCATTTGGAGAGAAGGGTGGGCCAATGCTCCACTCCACAGTTTAGTGGTTTTCTGGGGAGACATAGATCCAGGCCAGGGTTTTTTGGATCGTCTCCAACCCACTGCTCAGCTGCAGTTAATGAGCTATTGCAGTGGAAATAAACTCCTCCCTGCTAGGCAGGTGGAGGAGAGGGATTGCTGGCTTCCTCCCAGGAAGCAGGTAGGAGAGAGAGGCTGTTCTCTCCAGATAGAGTCAAGGAGACTAGCACTTGGAGTGCAGAAAGGAAGCAGTCAGGGCAAGGCTGGCTTGGAGCACTGGGAGTGCAGAAAGGAAAGCAGTCAGGGCAAGGCTGGCTTGGAGCACTGGGAGTGCAGAAAGGAAAGCTACAGGCTAGTTAGCAGAGTGTTGCTTTCTAATAAGGTTGGTGCAATATTGTTGTATAGCAGCTGCCTCTTGTTGTACAGTGGTTGCCTGTACCAGAGCTCTCAGCAGGTCCTCCATTATAGCACCAAGCGGGTAACAGTCTTAAAGGTGCAGTGCTACTTATTTGATTAGCAGGTCTGCCAAAAATAAAAGTCCTCAAGCAGACTACCAGATGACTGGCACACCCACAGATCCTCACTGTGCTACTTTGCCCGCATTCTCCACCATATTGTGATCCTTGTTTGCAGGTAGCACGGTCCTCTAGGGCAAAAACATGCACAGTCTTTCAATGCAATTTCATTCCAGGCACTTTATTTGCAAATCCACACAGGATACAGCAGTAAATGAAAAAAAACATAAATATAACAGGTTTCCCTTTAAACAAAAACCTAGCTCGTCTGAGCACTGACTCACTTTAGGTTCCCTATCTCTCAGGGTTAAACTAAACAAAACAATATTGCACCAACCTTATTAGAAAGCAACACTCTGCTAACTAGCCTGTAGCTTTCCTTTCTGCACTCCCAGTGCTCCAAGCCAGCCTTGCCCTGACTGCTTTCCTTTCTGCACTCCCAGTGCTCCAAGCCAGCCTTGCCCTGACTGCTTCCTTTCTGCACTCCAAGTGCCTAGTCTCCTTGACTATCTGGAGAGAACAGCCTCTCTCTCCTACCTGCTTCCTGGGAGGAAGCCAGCAATCCCTCTCCTCCACCTGCCTAGCAGGGAGGAGTTTATTTCCACTGCAATAGCTCATTAACTGCAGCTGAGCAGTGGGTTGGAGACGATCCAAAAAACCCTGGCCTGGATCTATGTCTCCCCAGAAAACCACTAAACTGTGGAGTGGAGCATTGGCCCACCCTTCTCTCCAAATGCTCCACCCCAGGGGCCCATAACTAAGCAAAGCTTTGTGTTGTGCAACACAGAAACTACACATACTTCCCCTGGGGTTAAAAGGCCTATCTGCCTTCACTTTATCACAAGTCCATAATGAATGCAAGGGCAAGGCTCATCTTCCTGTCAGCCCGCAACTCCCACGCCTCACCCTTCTGTCAGTCCCTACATTGGCTTCCTATAAAATATAGAGCTCAATTTAAAATTCTGTTTTTTGCTTTCAAATCTCTACATAATGCTGCTCCCTCCTATCTATCTTCCCTTATACACAAGTATGTCCCGTCTAGGCCTTTACGATCTGCTGAAGACTTAGTCTATCTTCTGTCCGTACTCCCACTTCTGATTCTCGCCTTCAAGACTTCTCGAGGGCGGCACCATTCCTGTGGAACTCGCTTCCCTCCTCTGTTAGATGCTAACCCAGTCTCCACCCCTTCAAAAAATCATTAAAAACCCACTTCTTCATATAAGCGTATCAATTAAACTGTTAATAGCTCCCAACTGACTCCTCTTCTGCAACTGTCACTAGTCTAATACTATCCTTACCTTTTGTGTCATTTTACCCCACTCTCTCTAGCATGTAAGCTCATTGAGCAGGGCCCTAAACCCCTCTGTTCCTGTGTGTCCAACTTGTCTGGTTACAACTACATGTCTGTTCGTCCACCCATTGTAAAGCGCTGCGGAATTTGATGGCGCTATATAAATGTCATAATAATAATAATAATAATATTTGGAGTATGTTTGAGTGAATGTAGGGGTTTGCTTATATATTATTTGCTTTTAACACCAAAATGTGTGTGTTTGTATGTAGTGTTGATGTTTTAATGCAGGAGTGTGTTTGTATGTAGTGTTGAAGTTTGAATGCAGTGGTGTATTTGTATGTAGTGTTGGTGTATTAATGCAGAGATGTATATACATACACTGCCACACACACACTGTGATACACATACACACATATACACACTGACACACTAAAACACATGCAGATACACAGATATACACACTGACACACTTGCAGATACATAAAACAGATACACAACATGACACATGCAGATGCTCAGACACACAGGTATACACACTGACTACATACAGATACTACAGATACACACACTGATAATATATACACATAAAGATGCACACACACATACAGATACACAGACACATGTACTGTCAGATATACAGACACAGACACATACACTGACAGACATACTGATACATACACTCACAGACATACTGACACACACACATACACTGACAGACTTTCTGGCACACACACATGCACTGACAGACATACCATCTGTCAGTGTATGCATATGTGTATGTGTATTTGACACGCATGCAGAAACACAGATACACACACTGACTACATACAGATAAACACAATGACAACACACAAATAAACTGACACATATACTATCAGACATACTGACACACAGACACATGCACTGGCAGACATATTGACACACACAAATACATACACTGACAGACATACTGACACACACAGATACATACACTGACAGACATACTGACACATACACTGAAATACTTACTGCCACATATACATTACATACACTGAAAGACTTACTGACACATATACATTACATACACTGACAGACATACTGACACACACACACAGACAGACATACTGAGACACACACAGACATACATACTGACACACACACACAGACAGACATACTGACTCACACACACAGACAGACATGCTGACACACACACAGACAGATGTACAAATCAAATTTACATTTCCTACCTGGGGTCCAGTGTGGTGCCTGAGGCTGATGGAAGTGAGGAGTCCCCCTCCTCACTGCCTCCTTTTCCTCCCTCCCGCACGGCTTCTTTCTGCCCCCTCCTGCACGACTCTTCTCTATGGCAGAAAGTGACTCACGGCTATCACTTCCTCCCAGACAGCTGTCGAAAAGCAAGAGGCCGGTCGCGCTGTTTTTAGCATGTGACCGTGTCCCTGCTAAAAACAAGCCCACTGGGTGGCCCTAAGTGCAATAGTCACCCAATGGGCTTGTTTTTAGCAGGGACCCGGTCACATGCTAAAAATAGTGCGATGGGCCTACTTAGTGTGTGGGCCCCCGGCTGGTGGCAGTTGGGGGGGATTCTTGAGGCCAGCGGGGCCCACAGGGCAGCTGCTTTTGGGCCCCCTGAAGTCACTGGTCCTGGGGCACCTGCCCCGTTCCCCCCGTGTTAAAGACTGCCCTGGCTTCAGGGAGTGAAGCATATTTTAAAAAGGTGCATTCTGAAGTGCATTGTGTGTAAAGAATGTGTCCTCTCTTTTTGATCTCTAAAAGTGCAGATTTCGATAGAAATTGTACATTTTATAAATGAATGTTTTCAATCAGAAAGCTGGTAATGTTACAATCCAGTAGTTTACCTCAGTGGAGCTAAATCCAAAAGACAGGCAACTGCCCAGAGCACCTGCCTTGCAAAGACTTCTCAATGAGCTGTAAGAGAGTCTGTGATTGGACATCCACAGTTGGAAGGTCTGCATAGAGGGTATCCTTACTGAGATAAAACATGAGTGTAACCTTGATAAGTGTGGTTGCCATACATGGTTATACATATACCGTAATAAATTATTATATAGATTTTTTTCCCCCTTAATAATAGATATGCCCTTAATTGTCTAGATACCTTCATGTGGGATACCCCTAACAAAAATGGAGGACGGAGAATTCATACTATGCTTGTATATTTTAATGGACTTCCTTACGTCCATAAATTGTCAATTGTTCCAGCAACGGGCACACAGGGGAGCCACGAGATATTTTCCTGGTGCTATGATGCTAGCACCGGGAACTATGCCTTCCTCTCCCCTGCCGGCTG